TTATTTAAAGTCCATACCAGTCACTCTCGAGATGTTCAGCTTGGACTTTTTGGTACATCTAGAGTTGGTACAACCGACACCACTGTCTTATGTGAGAATGTTTTCATCATCCCCCAAAACCCTCCATACCCATGAGTAGTCACCCCCCTTTCTCACTGTCCTACTGGAATTGATGATCTACTTTGGACATGGCATGAAATGAAATGATACAGTGTGTGCCCTCTTGGAGTGACTTCCTTTCCCTGGCAAAAGACTTTGAGATCCACCCGTTGTGTAGCGCAGGTCAAGGCTTCATTCCTTCTTATTACCAAATAATATTCCACTAAGTGGAGTTGCCATATTTTGTCCAATTTAACAGTTGGTGGACATTTGTATTGTTTCCATTTTTTTTTAATGCTGGGAATAATGTTGCTATAAACATTTGTGTTTTAAGATTTTGTATGGACAGAAAGTTTCATTTCTCAGACAACAGAATAAATTGGATCATCTGGCAGGAAGTTAGGGTTTTACCTTTTGAGAAATGCCAGGACTGGCTTCCAAAGTGGTGCTGCCAGCCAGCTTTCTTCCCGTTGTCTGTGTCCTTGCCAGTGTTTGTGTCTGCCCTTTTTATTCTAGCCATTGCAAGGTGTGGGAAGTGCGGTCTTCTCGTGGCCTTTTCGGTCAGCATCCTGGTTCCCTTCAGAACAGCTGTGCTGTGCCCTCCTGGCGTGCATGTGGCATGGGGTTATAACCAGTCTCTGTAGGGAGATGGTTTGCTTTCAACGTTTCTGTTACAAACAGTGTAACTGTTGTTTGGATTATCTGTCCCGGGAACTGACCACCCATGGTGGCTTAAAGCTAGCATTTTACTGCCCAGGAATTTGGCAGGGCTTAGCCGGCTGGTTCTTCTACCCCCAGTGGTGTCTGTTGTGGTCACCAGTGAAGCTGAAGCATGACTACAGCTGGAGCATCCATGTGGCCACCTCACCTGGGGGCTACCTTGTTTCTCTCTCTACCTGTAGGCTGTCAACTTCCCCTGACTCTGCCTCCCTTCAGGCCTCTGTCTTCCTCACAGTGGTCAGATGTCTTGACTGAGTTCCCAGAGGGCAGAACCAGAAACTTTTAGACCTCTCACATCCTAGCCCTGGGCCTGGCAGGGTATCACTTCCATTGGCTCCTCCTGGTCACAGCAGGCCACACGGGAAATTCAGACTTGAGGAACAAGGAATAAGCTCTACAGCTGTGTGAGAGAGCCGTACGTGGTACAGACAGGAGAAATGTCTTTGCAAAAATGCTTTGCGCAGCTGAAAGCATCCTTGCGCACTTGTCTGTTGAGTTTTGGAGTCAGAGTTGATCAGTCCTTGAGTGGCTGAGTGGTCCGTTGATTGGAGGATCTCAGGCAGGTCACATGAGCTCTGGGACCAAGACTTGCCAAGTCCCCCTGGCACCAGCTGCAGCCAGCAGAGAGAAGCATCAGCACTGGCATAGATCCCAGACTCTCTGGGGAATCCTGGGAGTTTCTGCCAGGCCCGACTTCCCATGGCTCCTACCTGTCATCAACAAAGTTGGTATTACTGTTCTTTGACAGAAGAAGAAGAAGGTTCCGGATGAATAGGCTTGACCTTTTCTGCCCCTACCTCCTGGATCTCATCCCTGTCTGGCCTTCTCTCTGTCCTGACAGTACCATGGTGTTAACACGGAGGATTCGTTGTCTCTCTTGACCCCTAATGAAGTCTGCAGATGACAGGCTTGAGTCTCAAGTTCTTGAGTCAGATTTCCTGTGCTGTCACCTACTTGTTCCCATACAAGGTCTGTCTCTGGATAATTGGCTTCACCTCAGTGACCATCACTTTCCTAGCCTGCAGGGTGGGAAGGCTCTCCCCTGCATGGTCCAGGGCTGCTGGGGAGACTGAGAGAGCTGAGCTTGGAAAGCCCCTGGGTTTGCAGGAGTGGCAAAGATAAAAGAACCTGTTCTGGTTCCGCGGCCCTGAGGCTCCCTCACCTCCCACTCTCACCTGGCCTGGGCCAAGGAGGCCATTGTGTTCAAGGTAAATAAAATCGCCACGAAGGGCAGGTGTGGTGGAGTGCTCTCCTGCCTGTGAGAATCAGTGTTCTCTTGTGATACTTCCAGGTGGCAACTAGAAAGTCCAGCTCTCTCCTGCTCGGGCTGGGCCTGACTGCTGAGGAATTAATTCACCTCTGCCTTTCCCTGCCCTCCTGCATCCTGCCCAGGCTGTTTGGCTAGAAGCAAAGTCACCCCAGCAAGTTTCCCTCTCCAGGTGCCTTTAGAGAAAGGGGTGGTATTCTCCACTGTGCCTGGGACAAACTGCATGCTGTGACTTGGGGGATGGGAGGCGCTGCCACCCAGTTGATTCAGGGATGAGTCAAAGCTTGCCTGGCCATCGGTGGCCTGCTGATAGTAAGACAGTCATGTTTGGCAGCGTATCCTGTGGGAAGGCCTGATTCCATTTCCTGGGTTACCAGTCATAGTCTTACTGCCCGAGAGGGCCTTCTGGGATGTCTGGTCGCATTTTCCTGCACATAGCAGCCTTCCAATAGGATTGCCACCCCAGCGCGCTGTGGTGTGGTGTTTCCTGGAGGGGCCTTGGGAGCCTCACTCAGTAGGAGAAATTGTTTTGGCTTGAGCAGCCTCTCTGCCCGCATCTGCTAATTGTCCAGAGTGGCTGATGGTTCACTGATCATCCTGGGGGCTTGCCTGGGCCAGAACAGTCACCAAGGCAGATGGAGATGAAGACAGCAGGAAATTCTTGTTTGTAAGCTGAAGTGCCACAGGCACCCCCCACGCAAGCTGTGACACAGGGCGAGGTAGGTGGGTTGTGAAAGATTATTTGAATTCACTTTGGACACGAGGGTTAAGCTTTGGGGTTTTAAAACCCTGCGTGGCCCTAAAGGGATTTCCTTGCTTCTGTAACCTGGTTACGGAGCAGAATGAGCCTGTTACAGACCCTGGAGGGCTTCGCCGTGGCTGAGGAGGGACTGGCATCTCGCCTTGGGTGACGGCTGTCTCTCCGGCTGCACAGGTGGAAGTCGTGCAGCGTGAACGGATGCTGTGTCATTGCCTTCGTCTGTGTTGCTGTAACAGAATTACCTGAGACTGGGTAAAGAGTGGAGATTGGTGGCTCACAGCTGTGGAGGCCTGAGGTCACGACCTCAGCGGAGGAGTCGGTGTCTAGCGAGGTTGCTCTGGTTCAGGATGGTGCCTCCCTGAAGCCTCGACCCAGGGCTGCCCCTCGAGGACCTCTGCAAGGTCCTGGCTGTGATCTGGTCACCAGAAGGATTCAGTCACAATAGAAGTTTTGGGAGTATCACACATAGACCCCAAGAGGGATGTACTTTAGCATCTTATGAATCAGGTTCTGGGCATAAACCGTATGACCTTCCAAGTGTTTTTTGGGTAAACAGGTAGGAATGACCTTCATCTCCACCTCATCATCATGCTGATGCTGCCTATTTCTGTGGACTTCCTTGCCCTGCCTCAGCCAACATCAGCCATGCGACAACTGGGCCAGCTGGATTCCTTGTCCCCAGACTTGGCTGGAGGAGGGGACAGCTCAGATTTACTCCTGAGTCTGTGCCCAGTGAGGCCACCCTGCACTCGCACACCTGCCCTGGCATTTGTCTTTGAGCCTTGTGCTTCATCCCTGTGTGGCTTCCCTGGGTGACTTGCTGGATTAACATAAGTCAGAGACACTGGCCAACATGGCATATTTCTATCCTGTATTGTGCATGTTGACAGGCCTGGTGAATGTCTCTTCCACCATAGTAGGCAGCAAGCTACAGGTTCTCTGGGCCGGACGGGCAAAATGAACAAGCGTGGTTACCAGTAGCTCGACAGGAAGAGGGTTCTGGAGGCCTGGATCTCATCTATAGAACGTTGCTGCCTGGCTCCACCAATAGCTTGTGGGACATAGTAGTGCAAGCTCCGAAATGGTGACAAGTCTACCTTAGCAAAGGGTGCATCCAGGAGGCCATCTTCATGTGTGGTTGCAAGCTTGGGGTTGCAGGTAGCCTGGTTGGGTTCCGCCTCCCTGGGCCCTGTCTCAGCTGTGTCGCTGGGCGAAAAGCTTTGCCTTCCGAGCGTGAGTCTGAGGTGGTGCCAGTAGCCCTGTCTATCTCACAGAGTTGTTTTAAGGACTCGGTGGTGTGGTGCTGTGGAGATTTTCCGGGCCTCGCCCAGTGTAAGCACTTAATAAATGGTTGCCACGTCTGAAGTGTTTATGTGTAAGCAGAAAAAATTCACCTGAACTCCAAGGAAAGTTAGGTAACTCCACGGGTGCTTGAGATTGGCCAGTCTGGAAGTGTCTGTCGTTAAACTGCACCCCAGCGTCTTGCACAACATAGAGGCTCTGCTATTTTAATTGACTATTAAAAAAACTCAATTGCTGAAATTGAATCCTTATAATTAGAAGTGCACAGGAGACAGTATAAAGACCTCATCTTGTATGCCAGACTCCACCTATCCTTGCCTGTACCCACCCGCCCTCCCTCCCTCCCTCTCTTCCTCCCTCCCTCCCTCTCTTCCTTCCTCCCTCCCTCTCTTCCTCCCTCCCTCCCTCTCTTCCTTCCATCTACCCACCCCCCACTCCCCATCTCTCACAGGTTGGGTGAGTTAGGCTTCTACCATTTTGCAAAAAGTGAGGAAGAGAACATTGATGACTATTCTCTACCAGCGATGACTATCCAGAACCCAGGGCCCGACACCGCATGGTGAATAATGCAGGCAGGAGAGGGTCACCTCCTGCCTCCTAGCAATTGATAGGGCAAGATCACCTTGTAGCAGCTCCCTGTTCCCTGTGTGTGTCTCTTTATAACTCTTCCATACGTCCTTCCTCTTTGAAGGAATTTTGTGTCTGAGGAGCTTGCTTTTGGAGTCCTGGCCGGCCCCATTCTGCCGCCTCCCCTCACAAGCCTTTGCTCTTCAGTTACCAGCTTATTGTGGAGTTGACGGAGCTGTGATCCAGCTGACCCAGAGCCTGTGTCTGTCTCCTCCTCTCTCACAGGGAGTCGGACCTCTTCCTGCTCGACAGCCGCACGCTTTGGGCCTCCGAGGAGGGCTGGCTGGTATTCGACATCACGGCCACAAGCAACCACTGGGTGGTCAATCCTCGGCACAACCTGGGCCTGCAGCTCTCAGTGGAGACCCTGGATGGTGAGTCCCCGGCCACTGCCACCACTAGTTCTCCTGCAGCCCAAGCTCTGGAACTTTCAGAAGTCCTGGGCAAGGTGCCTGTTTCCCTCAGACCAGACTTTCCTGCCCCTACTGAATGGGACTCAGCATCCTACCTTTTGATCAAACTCAAAGCAACCTCTCTCCTTCTCATTGCCTGAGAGGACTGTGAGGTTGACCGCAGATAGATTAGTTGAGATCCCACAGCAGCCTGGGTAGGTAGCCACCCTCATTTAGAAGTGCAGAATCTCAGGCCAGCCCAGATCTCCTGTGTCAGAACTTAACCGAGACCAGAGCCCTGAGGGACATCTTAATACAACAGCAGTGTGACAAGTGCCAGCACAGGCTTCTCGACTTCCTAACGCATGGCCTTCTGGGATGGCTGGAACACTGAAGCATGTTTAGTGGTATCTTTGGCCTCTTATCTGCTAGATACTAATCACATCCTCCAGATGTGACACCCAAAGGTGTCTTCAGACATTCAAAAATGTCCTCTGTGTGGCAAAATTGTTCCTGATTGAGGATCACTGTACTGGTTAAGGAATTAGTCTCTTTCCCGTTAGTGGTTCTGAGTTCTAAATTCTTGGAGAATCAGTTATTAGTGGCCCTTCTTGGCACCCTTCACTTCCTCCCAAAATCTGCTTTCTTCCAGAAGGACAGACAGGAAGATGAGTGGGAAACTGGGAGTGGCCTGTGCCAATATGGGCTTTCTCTAACTTGTACTTCTAGTAAATGGGCATGGTTTCTGGGTGTGTAGCTTCTTCCTTCCATCACTTATAAGAAGAAAAGTAATTTTTTCCACTTATTTTGAAATAGGAAATATGTGTCCTTGGCTTCATCTGCAGACATTAAGAAAATGTGTAACAGTAAATAGTGTCTCCTCTGACTTCCTTCCCTCAGCCGTCGAGTTCCATTTCCCCCTGTCCATTCCTGTTTTTCTTGTCCTTAGGTGCCTTTTCAGAGAGTCTGCTCTTTTTATTCTTCTCCCTCAAAGGACAGCACACAGTAGTCAGCATTCTTCATGTGAGCCCTTATCTTGGTCATCGGTCCTGCCTATAGTTAAAGAGCTTGCTCATTTGTTTTGGGGCAGTGTTTTGTGCCCAAGTGAAGCCAGAGTGTGAGATGCTGCCTCCCCTTACTGGATGACTTTGGACGACATCCCTAATGTGCGGAGTTGGCATCTGCACCTCCAGCACGGGGGTGACAAGGGCAGCTGGGCTACTGAAAGTTCAGAAGTTACTGTGGGAAGAGTATTTAGAATGGCAACTTGATGTACATAAACCCTTCCCCAGCTTATTTTTTTTAAAAAAAAAACATTTATTTATTTAGTGTGTGTGTGTGTGTGTGTGTGTGTGTGTGTGTGTGGCCAGCTCAGCCCACCAGGGGGCGGGGCTGGCTGGCATGTGGTGCTGGGGGATTGAACCGCGGTCCCTGTGCTTTGCCAAGCTTGTTCCAAGTAGGTGCTTTAGACCACTGAGCCATCTCACCAGCTCCTTCCTCAGCTTATTAAAAAGCAAATTCTGATGTGGGGGAACCTGCCTCTCCACATAGCCTTTGGGGAGTGCTCAGGCTGCTGGTCTCTGGGCCAGGCATGCATAGTGAGGGCTTAGGACATATGCTGCCCGTAGTACACCCTTAATAAAAGCTGTTGTCACTCTCCTGCACCTCGTGTTAAGGGCCAGGATGGGAAAGCATGTGCACAGGCCATTCTCAGTGAAGTGAGTGTAGCCCCAGTGTAGGTCCCCGATGGTGACATTGTCCGTGGAAATAGCCAGAGCTTCTATCTCCCCTTGCTCACCTGTTCAAGGTCTTATGTAGGAGACACTTCCAGGTCCTCATCTCGGTCCAAGAAGCCAGTATTTGTAATCCCAAAGTTACATTATTGGAATCCCATCAAATTGATTCCAATCTACCACTTACAATGCAACCCACGGCGAAAATAAAGACACTAAATTATATCCTCAATCATCGGGGAGTCAAGGGGCTCTAAGTCCAGCCATGAAGATGGCTTTCTGGAACCAAGAGAGCGACCCAGGGCCTCACCCAGGTTTATTCAATGGGGGAGTGGCTTGAGGATTGACTGAGAATTGTGGGAGAGAGACTACTAGGAGCTGAGCTAGGTGGGTGGCCTACATTTACCTCTGCGATATGCAGAGAGGACATGCAGAGAGAGTAATCTGTACTATATAATATCTAACGTTTTGGTAAGTCTGGTACCTCAGCTTTGGTGTAGCCTTTCAAGCCCCAGGAAGTCATGGCCTCTATCTCAGGCTCGATCCCAGCTGGCACTGCGGAGCATTAGCTCTACCATCCTGTCTCAACCCGGCTCACATTAAAGAGCAGCAGGTATAAGTTACCAGGGAAACACGCACGCCACCTTCAGGGACTATCACCAGCACCTCAGCTAGACCAATACACATTGCTTAAGGCCAACCGAAGGATAAACAGGAGTCCTAGCCAGCTCTGTACAGAACAATCCGAGGAAATAGGGTCAGGCTCAGCCAAAATGGAGACAATCGCTCTTCTTTCAAGGAGAGCTGCTCAGGTGGTCCTCCACAGCCTTACACCTGTCCATCCTTGCTTATCCGCTCACCTGACGACATGTGGCACCTAGCACATGATGCTGCTTTTTTTCTCCCGTGTGAGGGAGCCCTTCTCCATGTGTGTCATCTACAGTGTCTTCCCTGGGCCTGTCTGTCCCTCCTCACTGCCCATTGTTCTGACAGGCCATAGGTCTTTTCTTCTCCAGTTTGACTTCTGCAATTTGAGCAGCAAATGTTTTCCTAGTTTTTTTTTTTTTTTAATTTTTATTCCTTAATCTTATTTTTTTGAGATAGGGTCTTGCTACGCAATTTAGACGCCTAGTGATCCTCCTGTCTCAGCCTCCCTCATGCTGGGATTACAGGTGTGCACCACCATGCCCAGTTCCAGGGTATGCCTGGGGTTCCAGGGTAGACACAGCATGTGGTACTGGGGCTTGAACTCAGACCCTTGAGCTTGCCAGGCAGGGGCTTACCCCACCGCTGAGCTATCTCCCCAGTCCTGTTTCCCCAAATTTGAGTTTTCTTTGTACTTTGATTATCTTGGATTTTTGCCAAGTAGATTCTGACAGAGAAGCTGAAGGTAATCACCTTTTCCTTTACAGTTCCTGGGCTCTGCCTCTTTTTCTTCCTATCAGAGGCCACTGTGCTGGGGGAAGAACTGTGAGAGTCTTGGGGGTGATTTAATGACAGTCCGGCTCAGGAACTTCTGTGTATCGTATCTCTTTCCCCAGCTTGGGATGTGGCCATAGGGTGTGGGGAGCAGGAACTATTTTCATATTTCTTGGTGAGGCCTGGTGAGGCAAGAGGCCCCTTCCCATCTTCCTTCCCCCTCGAGCCTCTAGAAGCTTCCCTGAACTTGAGCTCACCCGAGCCCAGGGGAAGGGCCACAGAGGCCAGGGCTCTGCTGTCCAGATCAACCTCCTCTCTGCTAACGGCCTTCCCACGCCTCCTCTCCCACGTCCCACCTTCTTTCTGTGCTTCTCAGACTTAAAGAAGGTTCTAGAAAGTACTGGATTTTTCCAAGGTGCTATTCCAGGAGTTAGCAGACTAAACCTAACTGACCTCAACATTCAGCCTACAGCCTGCTTTTTCTCGTGACAAAGTTTTCTAAGTTTTAATGAATGAGAAAAATAAAAAAGAGGATGCTTGGTGACATGCAAAGCCATACAAAATTGACATTTCAATGTCCATAAATGATGCTTTATTGTACATTAGCCGCACTCATTTTTTTTTGTCTCTCAGACTGCTTTAATAGAAAATTTGAATAAATATAACAGATCTTATGGCCCGCCAAGCTGAACATAATGTATGTTTTCTTTT